CACACACACACACACACACACACACACACACAAAAAATGGACCAAGAAATGTGCAGCCTCGGGTCTCGAACCCTCAGGATGCATAACACTGATTCCCCCTGGAAAAAAAACGTAGCTAGGGAAGAGGGGAATGGGAATTAATGAAACGACCGATTGGCTGTCCTAGGCTTTCCTGGCCAGGAGAACGGAGAACGGAAAGACTGAACCATGAAATCAAAAAGGCATCTGTCTTCCAGGTTCCCCTCTGCCAAGGTCTTGAGAGGAATGTTTGCACTTTCCTGTTGGCTTTGTATGCAAATAGCTCCAGATGCGAGGGAACCACATCTAAGTCCCTTGCCTCAGCATCTGCTGGTCCAATTCCCATTATTCCTTCTGCAGGGCCGGCTTGTGACAGACAGTTTAGTCTGCCCTCTTTATAAGCTGTTTTGAAGGAGCTAATTTGGATTAAAGTATCTATCTGGAGCGCTTGGTTTTCCCTTTGATGGTCACTGGGTTCTAATGTGGTCTGTGCGGAGTTGCAAGGAACTCAGAGAGGCACTGCCTCCCACCTCGCCATCTACACAGCTTACCCTGGTGAGGACGAAACCAGACAGGGAACAGTCTCTCACCTCTTAAGACTGTGCCACGCACACTGTACAAAAATGGCTTCATAGCACATCCTGACCCAGTATTCACTGCAGGCAACCGCGATCAAGGGCTGAAGCTAGCAGTAAGGGGAGAAGGCCCTGCCAACACTGAGAATGCATCCAGGGGAACGCTCCAACCTCCTGGGCGACGGCCTCCGCGGCCAGTCAGTGGAAACGGAGCCCCACAGCTCACAGACCTGTGTACCTGAAACTCAGAGAGCCTACTGCGTCTACAGGAAAGTCAACAGTGAACACTGAATCAACCTGAATGAATTCCATCAATTCTGAAACTCCGGGAAAAGAGGCACAATAAAGAAATTAATAAAAAAAATGCATAGATGCCTGACCAAGGCAGCACATTATCAAAAACAGACAAAGTCACATAAAGATGAGTCCTTCTCCCTTTCACAAGAACACAGGGGAGGGGCAGAGGGACAGGGAGGGGCAGAGGGGGGAGCACAGCTGGCAGGGAAGGGGAAAGCGGGTACAGGGAAGACATCACCACACAGGAGCACATCCCCAGGGTCTCCATATATACATAAGTTTATACACTCACGCACATCTCACATGCCCATCAGTAGACAACCATTAATTTCAGGGAAATAAAAGTACAACAGTGCTCCTTTTATAGGCATTACAAAAGACAATTAGTTTGCAATTATATAAAACAAGATTTCTCAGTTTTAAAAAAAACTATATACTCTCACGAGCAGCCATTTTGAATGCTGTTGTATTATCTGCCACACAAATCCTGAAATGGCATTCCTTCGGGAAAAGTATTAGAAAAGTTAAATGACCAATGAGGCACGGGAAATAGATGCAGCCGCTATTGGTCTTGGACCTAGAGTGAATTAAAGTGTGAGCTAATGTGCACTGTTTCTGTCCTACGGGAGAACCAGGGAGATGGGAGAAAAGATCAGCAAGGGAACGCACTGTGCTTCCAAGCATCCGAGGCCACTCTGTAAAAGCGAGTGCCATCACGTGCCACGTGCATGGGGGCAACATGCTTGCTGTGACACTCATGGGAGCACAAGTTGGTTTCTACCAGGGGCTCCAGAGGTGGAGCTCGGGTGTCAGGAGGCAGGTGTTTTACTCACTGATCAGGACACAGGCCCTGGGGCTATTCTAGGTCACACATCTGAACTGAAAGTCACCAGAACACTTAACTCAGACATAGAAACATGCTGCTCTTAGCAAGTACTGAAGGTTTTCAAGGCTGATACCGGTTTTCTGCTCTTATACCATATCACGAAGACTGTTTGTTCGCCTTGGATTGAAAATAACCAAGAAGAGGTAAATGCAAGCAAATCTACTCACCAGTCATCGAGAATCACTACCTTAGTGGTTGCAACTCCAGAGGATTCATACCCACTTTCTGCCACGGAGAAGACTAAAGCAGGCATTAAAGATGAGCTGTATGTGAGATTATAGTTAAAACCCTACAACAGCCATGCTTACAGTGTCTCTACTCGAAACAGTCGAGGGGGAAAGGAACCTGCGCCCATGACAAATGAATGGAAGACGGGATGTTAGGATTGGAAAGGAAGGAAGTTGGGGCAGATTCTGCAACGTGAGTAAAACTCGAGGGCACTGTTCTGACTGAGAGACGCACAAGTGCAGCCTGGGCGATCCATCACCCACGGCGACAGCTAAGGGGTTCACAAGGGGAGGAGGGAGGAAGTTCACTGAAGCTTAACAGTATAGAGTCTCAGTCGTGCGAGATATGGTACAACCTACACATGAAAATAACAGAGAGGGCAAAAGCCATCACTGTCGTAAAATATGAACTGGGACAGAATGACATCATGACAGTGCTTCAGGTGCTGAGCACGGTCAACACCTTCTTCTTTTCGGATGGGCAGATGGGAGGTGAGGGCAGTGGGAGACACGGGGCAGACGGTGGGAGACACGCTGTTCGGGTCACAGTACATCGGCCTGAAGGGCGGGGCCAGACAACGGCTGCCAGGAAGGCTGGCATTTCTCCTTGGCCGGCTCTTACGGGAATGAAGTAACTATGTCAGCGCTGTGGGCTGCAGTGAGATGGGGCCATCATCTCACGCCCACCGTAACACGGGAATAATCATGCATCTTACGTTATGTCATAGCGCTGATCTTCATTGGCTACCTGACTGGACTTAGAATCGCTGAGGATACACATTTCTGGGTGAGGGAGCTCCCAGGAAGGTTTGGCTAAGGAGGCAGAAGTCGTCCTGCGCGTGAGACAGGGCAGGATAGAAGGTCACCATCTCGTGGGATGGGTCAAGGCTGGGCATAAAGGAGAAACAGGGCTGGGTATCAGTGTCCGTCGGTCCCTGCTGCCTGCCTGCGGATGCAGCGTGACAGCTGCCTGACACTGGCCACCATGATGGACTGTACCCCTTCAAATCGCGGATCAGAGTAAGTCCTCCCCCTTAAGCTATCTATCTGATCACAAGAAAAGCAGCCAAGACGGTGAGAGGCTGAACACGAACGAGGAGGATAGGGCAGAGGCTCACACGGAGGGTGCGGCGCCCACCCTGCCACCCATCTGTCCCACCATCAGTCCTGCCTGTCAGTGAGCACTCGGGAGGCAGAGGCTGGTGGATCTCTGAGAGTTCGAGGCCAGTCTGGTCTACAGAGCGAGTTCCAGGACAGCCTCCAAAACAATACAGAGAAACCCTGTCTTGAAAAACCAGGGAAAAGAAAGAAAGAAAGAAAGAAAGAAGGAAGGAAGGAAGGAAGGAAGGAAGGAAGGAAGGAAGGAAGGAAGGAAGGAAGGAAGGAAGGAGGACACCAAAAAGAATAGCTGTAAAACTTTGCCAAGACAAGGTGGGACAGCCCTTCAGAAAATGCTGCTTCACGGAAAAGTCTGCCAGACACTATAGCCTTTCAAACCAATTGTGGGGCTGAAGACAGATGCCCCGATGTTACAGAGAAGCACTATGTGACTGTCCAGGCAGCAAGATGTCTCCGTCAGTTCTAGAGTTTATTATCCTTCTAGGGTCTTTGGTGGAGTTGGAGACAGATAGCTACAGTTACGGTTTGCCTTAGTTATGATAAAAGATAAGTTACATATAAAACTTTAGACTCACAGAGATAGGATAGATGATAGAATATTTTCTTTAAATTTTGCCAAATGTTTATGGACTAAATATTGTTAGCTATAGTTCTTGCTTGGTAACTGTTTCGATATATGTAATTTTACTATGTTAAAGTAATTTGTCTAAATTAATTTAGACAAAAAAGGGGAGATGATGAGGGATGTCCTTCTGTATGCTGTGAATGTTTCTTATTGGCTCATGAATAAAACTGTTTCGGCCAATGGACAGACAGTATGTAGCCAGGCAGGATGTATAGGTGGGGCTACCAGACTAGGAGAATTCTAGGAAGAGGAAAGCAGAAGAGTGAGTCTCCAGCAAGACACCATGTAGCCACCAGGAAGGCAGGATGCCTGGGCATTCTCCGATAAGCCAAACCAAATGAAGATGCATAAGTTACTAGAAATTTGTCCGCTAATAAGAATCCTGAGCCATCAGTCAAGCAGTTCATAATTAATATAAGATTCTGTGTTTATTTGGGACTAAATGGCTGTGGGGCCAGGAGGGACAGATATCCCCACAGCCCACATATGGCCTCTGAGACCAGGGAAAAAGCCTCTTGGAAAGTGCCTCTCACATCCGGGCGCTGAAGAAGCTCATCTCCCTTCCCCCTTAACGCTTTCATTCCGTGACTGTGAGCATCCAGACTGACCCACTAAGCTACGGCACCTTACGACACCTTTACATCTCTGCGTGATGTCTTTCCTTGCTCTGGTGAGAAGAGTAGCATTCAATATGGATGTGTGGCGAGACACCAAGCCCTTAAAGCCATAGGCCCGGGGGTGGCAGAGCTGGGCAACTATGGCAGCTCCATGTTCGCATTTTTCTGAGAAACCTTCAAACTGACTTCATCAGGAGTATCAGGAGCATAAACGAAGGTAAATGGGAACAACGCATGCTGTACTTAAGGTTCATTCGGGGTTTCTTATCCAACCAGCCTCCAGCAACCCCTACTTTGGGGAAAAGAAAATTTGGATTCGGATTGTTCTAGGACACTACATTTTTTTCAGATCAGAAAACCAACAAACTTTTTTAAAAAGATGAGAAATAGGTTTTAAAAACAAATGAAAAAGTCACTTTAAAATAAAGGGGGGTTGGCCGGGCGGTGGTGACGCACGCCTTTAATCCCAGCACTCAGGAGGCAGAGGCAGGCAGATCTCTGAGTCTGAGGCCGGGCTGGACCGACAGCCTCCAAAACAATACAGAGAAACCCTGTCTCGTAAAAACCAAAAAAAAATAAAAAAATAAAAATAAAATAAAGGGGGGTAAAAAGGAATCCATAATGAGGAGTCAGTACCTGCAGGAAAGGTGGCCCAGGGGACAGCAGGGGACATTGCTTGGTTTCCACTGTGTTCACCATCAAAGGTTTCTGCGGCCTGTAAGACAAGGCAGGACCACCTGAAAAGACCTACAGAGCTGCACTTTTTCTCAGCAGTCACGCGTGCAGCCCCACAGGCACGCTTCAGCAATGAGACACCCATTCACATTCTCTCTGAACGCCCCACAGCCCCCAACGCCCTGCGTTACCCCTGCACTGTTCCCCACCTACAGTGCCAGATCCCAGCTCCCGGGAAGATGACCTCCTCCCTTATCCCAACAACCGCATGTCGACGGAATGCTTGTCTCGTGCATCTTCCATTACAATTTAACTCGCCGCATTTACCCATCGGCGTGAAAATTCCCTTAACGACAGACTGAGCGAATCTTTTATTTTAAAAGGTCACTTAGATTAGCACTAAGACTTAGGGACTAATCTGGAAGAGCAGGTGAGCCCGTCTTCCTGGACAATCAGGTCTCTGGCACCAAACACTAGAGGATTGCAAAAGCCAGCATTTTCAACAAATGGGCTCTGCTGTTTGGTAGCAGCTACTTAGGACAAGGCTTACAGAGGGAGCAAAGTTTTAGTCTCTTCGGGTAGCTGTTAAAGCAAAATTATTACTGAGATCAGGGTCACGACTTCATAATTTTAATTCCTATTCTGCACTGAGTTACCAGGGAACTCAGAGGTCAGAGGACACGGGCTGCCGAGGACAGAAGATGAGGCTGCACCGCCCACTGGCTGTGAGAGCCAGTATATTGTGCTGAACACGGGACAAAGACCTTCTGCTCCTCCAGGGCAGAGCTGAAGAGCGAGGGCACCTACTGAACACAGTTAGTGCTGGGCCCCCTGTTGAGAGGACTGGAGCATGGAAGAGACAGTGAATTCAGCTGTCACTTGTGAAGGCAGCTGTGGCTTTACTATGGCTCTGCTGCGGCTGAGAGAAGAGAATATGTTTGTATGGGACCCTTAAATAAACAGCTTCCAGGTGACAAGGCAAGCCATCCTGTCCTCAATATCAGTGGAATTTTAGCAAATTTTTAAATGCTCCATTTAATGTGAATGAGATTCAAAACGTAAACTGCTAGGTAAAAGCATGGAACACTCATATGAGCTTTTTAAAAAGCAGCTTGGGATGAAACATGGAATACATGTCTATCTACATATCTACATTGACTGCCTGCACACAGAAAACTCGTATATCTACACTGGCTGCTTGCACATAGAGAACATGTGTGTCTATAGTACTTGTCAACACATGGAGAACATGTGTGTCTACAATACCTCCGTGCACATGGAGAACATGTGTGTCTATAGTACTTGCTGGCACATGGAGAACATGTGTGTCTACAGTACCTCCATGCACATGAAGAACATGTGTGTCTACAGTAGCTGCTGCATATGAAAAACATGTGTGTCTACAGTAGCTTCTTGCACATAGAGAACATGTGTGTCTACAATACCTCCGTGCACATGGGGAACATGTGTATCTACAGTACTTGTCTGCACAAGGAGAACATGCATGTCTACTGCAGTTGCTGCCTGTACATGAAGAACATGAGTCTGCACTGACTGCCCACACACGGGCAGCTATGGAGACGGATAACAAATGACCTGCTCCTGAAAAGAGTCATTGTTGTTGAAAATGCCCACTTCTCCTATTAACAGTAATTACACCCCCTAACTTTTACCGTAGCCTTTTTACTAAATCCAAACTAGGTGAACAACTAAAAAAAAAAAAAAAAAAGAGGAAAAGTAAGTCCTGAGCACGTGCAGTGGGTGGTTCCAAGACTTGAGCCCTGGCATTTGACTCTTAATCCAGTGATTTTCCTGCAAGACTATACTGGCTCCGTAAAAATAGCTGGGTTACAAGATAGTCCAATAAAATGAACTCATACTGAAAAGCTAACAACGCCTGCTTACAAATGTCCTACCAAAACCTGAGAGACAGAGCAATGTAACAGCACACACGGATCAGCACCACGGGACAGATACGTCTGTGTGCCTCACACAGGAAGTCCAGGGGGGAACCACAGGTGGGAACAGGGCTGTGACAGGCTCTGACAGACATGTCCCATCCTCTACTGGCAGTCTGAGCTCTTCTTGGTGCTTCACCAGCCACGCTGATTACCCTGATTTAAATCGTTCCTATGGGCAAGATCATCGCCTCAGTGGCAACCCATCTCGGGGTCTCGGCTGACGATGCCTCTCCATTTTCCTTGACTTCACCCTCTGTTTCAGAGTTGCATCAAAGCCACTAAGAATAGAACATGAGGGTAGGAGCAACAGCTCAGTCGGTAAACTGTCTGCCTTGCAGACACAAGAACCAGAATTTCGTCTCCAGGACCCACTCTTCACAAATCTGGGCATGGTGGCATGCATCTGCAATCCCGGAGCCAGGAAAGCTGATGCCTGGGGCTTGCTAGCCAGCCAGCACGGTCTACTTGACAAGCTGCAGGCCCATGAGAGACCCGAACAGGACCGAGTAAGAGACCTAAGGGGCCGTCCTCTGTACACTCACACACATGGAGCAGCACCAGACACACACTCAGTGATCAGATCAAGGAAACGGTGAAAGCAAACACGTTTTTGTAATAGTTTGCTGTCACCCAATGTTAAAGACAGACGACACATACCTCAAAGCCACCGAAGTCGTCATCGTCCATTCTTCAAGCAGCACCTGAAACACAGGACAACCGAGATGAGCCGCCTGCACCCAAGCCCCTCCGTGACTTAAAGGAATATACACTCTGAGCTGTGAACTGAAGATGTTTCATTAGGATTACGAAGGGCTTTCTTAAACTGTATTGTGCATTTTTTATCACTTAAAAAAAAACAGCTAGTAATTGTTTTGTTTTTTACGTTCTGGCAAAATTAGAAATTTCTGGAACTATTTCAGTAACCATGTATTTTGCCATTTTCTGTTGAGACTCTAGGAGTGGAAAAAATATTCTTTTACATTTTAATTTGCTTTTCCCAAAGTGGCGCTAGGCCCCATCAGTAATGCTTCCTGCTTTCCGAATCTACTCCTCAGCTGTCTGGCAGCATCAGCACAAACTCCAGTTAAGAACAGGACTGTGGTGAGTTTTTGGAAATCTGTCCCAGCCGCAAAGGTTCTTCCCTCGGTTTCATGGCCGGGCTGAGTTAGATTCTCAAAGTTGATCAGCATTTTTGAACGGTGGCCGCGGCTTCTGGGGCATTTGATATGTGTATTTTTAGCTGAAGCTGCTTTTGCACTTCTGGAAAAATGTGGAGCAAGTTACTGAGCCAATGGAGGTAAATCAAGTCATGCGTTCACGGGACGGGTCAGAAAACATAAGAGGACCCAGGACCCTTCACACCTCACTCTGGAGGTAGGAGAGAGAGCTGTGGTGCAACACGCTCTGTGCTTCTTCCTAAATACATTAAAGAAGGGCCAAGGGTCAAGGCTTCAGAACGAAAGCAGCGGCTCTGGCTCACAGCAGAGAGGAAGGAAAAACCCTGGGAAGGCAAAGGAGCAGTGGTCACCTGTGCTCCTCCCCCCCATCCCCGCCCCCGAGAAAGCGGGAAGTTAAGCCCCATGGGGAACCCAGCAGGCCTTGGCTCCAAATCACTCACCAACAACCCCATCGAGAAAGCCCCCCACTCCAAAAGGGAGCAACAAAGACATACACTAGTCACACATGGCTTTCTTTCGGGGGGGGAGGAAATTCATTTTCACGAAAAGTCGAAGGTGACAGAGGATGCGTGTGGACAGAAACACAGTAATTTTACAAGTGGCGATGCCGCCCTTTGGTCACAGACCCGAAGTCTGATGGCGGTTCTCCCAAGACCTGTTTCTCTTTACAAATTCAGAGGTTAAAGCGAAGCTAGCCACCGACAGGCAGCACCTAGGAAACACAAAACTGGGCTTCTGAGAACGGTCAGTGGCAGCGGTTAGTCTGAAAGGACGCTGCATTACTCGGGTCTCAACCGAGGACAACCTTCCCCTGATGACAGCCATCAGGGGCGACACCGTGGGAGAAGAGGGTGTGCGTCCTAACAGCTGTCTGTTAGACTGCGAACACCACAGCTGTCCTTTCCCACGGACGGCCTCTGGAGCCAACCGCCGTCTATTTTTAGCATCGACCGACACCGCTGCACTCGGGTCCTCGTTTCTGAAGACTGGCGTTTGCAGAGTTGAGGCTCCCGTGTTTCCACGGGGCGCGTCCTGACACGGGACAGGAAGGGTGCCAGGGAGCCGACAGCGCGAGCACACAACATGTTTGCCTGTGGTGAGGGAGCAGATTCCTAAGTTCTGATTGAGCTGTGCAAAACAGCGGCGTGGTGGCCACGGACGCTCTGGGTTCCAGCAACTCCTACGCACCGAGTAAGACAAATCAAGAGTTTCTCCTCTAGGTCGTCAAAAGAGCAGTCACATATATTATTTAAAAGTAGACAAATATGCCCTATGCATCTTAAGATACAGTGCTACAGAGATGCTGTTTTAAAGACATAGCCTTTCTCCAAATGCTTTAGACTCAAATCCTATGACAGTTTCCTTTTGAATATTAAGAGAAGAAGGACAACAGATTTGTTTTGTTTTTTTTTCGGGCTGCTGCTGGTGTGTGTGTGTGTGTGTGTGTGTGTGTGTGTGTGTGTGTGTGTGTGTGTGTGTGTGTGTTTGTGTGTCTGTATAGAAACAGGGTCTCACTAGGTAGCCCTGACTGGCCTGGAACTTCCTATGGAGACCAGGCTACCTTCAAATCCACAGAGATCCACCTGCCTCTGCCTCCTGAGTGCTGGAATTAAAGGTGTGAGCCACCGTGCCTGACCTCAACAGCACTGCTTTTTTAAAGCTCAGTTTTACAGTAGGGGCCACAGAAACAGCTCGGTCAATAAAGCATTTGCCACACAAGTATATGAATCACTGTTTAGATCCCCCAGAATTCACATAAAAACCAGGCAGATGTAAAAATCCTGTAATCCAGGCACCCGGGAGGCAGAGAGAGGGAATCCTGGGGCAAGGTGGCCAGCTAGTCTGCACTGACCAGTTCTGGCTTCAGCAGGAGAGCCTGCCTCAAAAATCAGGGGACTTACTTTGGGACTCCACACTCCCTATACACACATGAACGTGCAAACACGCAGCCCACAATACACAAACATACAAAAGGGACATCAAGCCAGGCGGTAGCGTCTCAGCCGTTAATCCCAGCACTCGGGAGGCAGAAGCAGGCGGATCTCTTTGAGGTCGAGGACAGCCTGGCCTACAGAGTGAGTTCCAGGACAGCCTCCAAAGCAATACAGAGAAACCCTGTCTCAGAGGGAGAAAAAAAAAAGAAATCAACAACATACAAAAGATAAAAAGCGATTTTTAAGAAGGAAACAGTAGAGGTTCTTCACAGACTGTCACTTGAACCCACTCAACCCTTGGTTTTATTTTATCTAAGCTGTACTGAAGCCTGTGTCACGGCGATTCCCACCATGTGCTGACACCACCTGAGTCACAGAATCATGAGGCTCTAACTCAAAGCTACATCCCACTAACTCGGGGACCCAGGCAAAAGCTTTTCCTAATACCTAGGCTCCACAATCTCAGAACTCCTTATGTGTAAATTAGCCTCTCCCGTTGCTTTATTATGTTAATTCCCTATTCTGCCATCCTCCGTATTTGAAATAGTACTGTTTGAGAAAAACAGAGCAGAAAGTCAAAGGCGCACTTGGACAGCAACACGCGCCCTCTGCGGCCCGCCCGCTACTCCACAGATGTGTCAGTCAGGGTCCTTGGAAAGCTGTGTGGTGGGGAAGAAAGCTCAGACCCAGGGAAAAGCACACAAATGTAAGCAACAGTAACAACTCTTAGGGAGAAAACTGCCCGGGGTGGGGAAACGACTTCAGGGGGATCTACATAGGGAGTATCAAGGGACCTTGGAGACAGACTGAAGGAACTGGACAGATATTTCAAACAGAACATTTTGTCCAACTTTACATTGAAAGGTCTTCTTTATGACAAAAAAAAAAAAAGATGTTACATTAAAACGCTTGTGTCTGCTCCTAAATACAAACAAGGTTTAAAGAACAAAAAAACAGCCTGGCGGTGGTGGCGCACGCCTTTAATCCCAGCACCCGGGAGGCAGAGGCAGGTGGATCTCTGTGAGTTTGAGGCCAGGCTGGACCGACAGCCTCCAAAACAGAGAAACCCTGTCTTGTAAAAACCAAAAAAAAAAAAAAAAAAAAAGAACAAAAAAACGGTAAAGGAGAAGAGCGAGAAGCTTGGCGGGGAAGATGTGTGGACACCGGCGACACCCGTGAATACAGGAGGCCCAGCCCCGTTTCCCTCGAGTCACCACAGAAGGCTCAAGAACCAGCAACTGGCAGTGGGTTAAAGGTGAGGCTCAAAATCCAACCAGCGCCAGGGCTGCACCTCCCAAAACCAGACACCCAGTCACGAGCAGCTCTCCCCCCAGCAGAACACGGGTTTACTCCACCCTGTGCACTAGAAGGCGTGGTCAGAAAATCTGGGAGCAGGAGCTACTCTGATAAACCCTACCCGGACATCCCCCTGTATCTCCTGACTTCATTACGGACAGACTGGAATACAGGCTAAAAGGAAGCAAGGATGGTGGTGTCCTGCTGCTGGGGTTCAAATCCCGGGTCTGACAAGCACCGGGAGATAGTGGACATGTAACTTAAAACACTTTTGTTAGCTACAGGGGCCACTGGAGAGATGGAAGAGGTTAAACCAGAAACACCTGGGATGAGCCCGCCCCTGAGACCTCATCTGCACAGGTTCACTCCTGGTGCCTCCATCTCCCATCCGAGCAGGGTTCCCGGGGGAACAGAGATGGAGGTAGTGGCAAGGACGCAGAGACCAGACACCCACCCACCGCAAGACAAACAGCGGGAGGGTAAGCAGGTTCTCCAACAGGCGCGGTGTCCTCAACAGGAGGAAATCAGACCGGGACACCTACGTTTGTGAGGGAAGGAAACGGAAAGGAAGATGGAGAGAGCGGAATGTCCTGCAAATTTAAATTAGGATCGCAGAAATGAAGAACCGTGGAATGGAAAACCCCCTTAAAATGAAGCATATAAAAGAAAAATGAACAACGAGTAAACCATAAGGAACTTTCAGTCCAGGCTTTGCTACATCGGCACCACTGGGAATTCTATAAAAAACACGGGACTAGGAAATCATCGGCAAGATAGCTGAAGAGGACTGTCTTTTATAAAACTCGGTGTAGGTAAGAAAACAGAGGAAACAAACCACGCCAGAGCACAACACGACGCACAGAGGATCCGACGAGCCTCCAGAAAGGGAGACAGGCTTCATCCAAGCACAGAGGCTTCCGGAAGCATCACAGGAAGGCAGAGGGCTGCCTCTCCTCAGCATGGCTGGAGAATTCTCAGGGGAAAACTCGAGGGAAAATGATGTGCAATAAGCAGCCGGACCAATAGCTCACTGAGTTCAGGAAAGAATAAAGTCCACACTCATAAGGTCTCAACGTGATGTTTTTATGCTCTTCCTTTAAAACGGAGCTGGGGCTGTGACTCAATGGTGGAGTGCTTGCCCAGCATGAACAAGGCCCTGAGTTCTGGGTTCCTTCCTGCACTATTGATTCGAAGAATACTTTAAATTGGCCCTTTGGGGATGATGAGTGATGAGAAAAATCTTCTAGGCCCTTGTCAGTCTCTGCTCCAAATCTTCCAACAAAATGTCTAACC